TTCCATTACAGAGTTCGATGGCGAGTTCACACCTCCCCAAACGAACCGGACTTTCTAGGAAAACGAGCTAGAGTTAGATTAAAGCAGACTAAACAGGGCTGGTGTGAATGCACCTTAACAGCAGTGCCAGAGAGCAGAGTGTTTTTCTGCTACTCACACTTTTTCAGCAAGCAGGAGCAAAACAAATAAAATCCAGGGCCCAAAGAGACAATGTATTCACCAGTTTGGACTAACTGTAATCATGCAGATGCTGCATAAATAATGAACGCAGCTGAGCCCTGCATCAGGGTTGCCAGATAAATGTAAAATGTCTTATCTCCTCCTTTTCTGTGCACATATTGAACAAACACAACACACACCTCATCTTACAATATTCTTACTCAGCACATATGACAGTTTAGGGCAAAACACTATAATTTTAAAGCTACAGTACTATATTGAGCATGCATCAGGCTACAGTACTATAGTTCATAAGTTCTTCTCTGGCAACCCGACTGACATAGAAACTACAGTGATTTCTTGTAAACTTGCTCATTTTTCAATTATTATCCCCCAAAACATTGAGAAAACACGTTTCCAGAGGTTGTTATTGTGTAAATGGGGCCTTATTGTTTTAAAAGGAGCTGCATGCTGAAAAGGTAGGGCTACCCTGTACTTGTGTATATAATATGCTTACATATACAAGGCTGTGTGGAGTTTACATGCTCTCCCCATGGGTTGTCTCCAGTTTCCTTCTAGACAGAAACATGTTGAGTTTGTGCTAACTAAATTGTTCTTAGGTGTGAGTGAGAGAGGGAAGGGTTGTTTGCATGGTTTGTCTATGCGTCCCTGTGATGGACTGAGACCTGTTCTGGTGTCCCCCGTCTCTTAAAGCCCCTTATCCACAGGGCCTTTTCGGGCTCCTATGTAACCAGTTTGGGCCAATTGCCTTGTTTATCCACAGTGCCTTCAGCAGTGGAACACGCACGATTTTTGGGACCTACTTCTCTGTGGTCACAGGTCTGGTTCTTGTTGGGTCCAAATGTGACGTCAGCGCACAGTCGGTCACTGATTGGTCAAGGGGAGGAGTCACTGGATCTTTCAGAAATTTTTCAAAACACCGATCTGCCATTTGCAATTTCTCGACCCGGAATAGCGGCTGGACCTATTTTAAAGATTTTAAAAACAATAATGCCAACACTATGGCCTAATGCTGAAGTGCTGGCGGGGTTTTTTTTGTGCTTGTTGGCCGACGACAAAATTCAGAGCGAGCTAGATGGAGCTCCGCCGGTCTACCCGGATCCTCTCCACGAGAGCGTCGGAGCTGGGCAGGGCGTCATCTCCTCGAGCTAAAAGTTATCTGTGGAAGTAAGTAAAAAGTAATATTTACCATTATGTTTTTTTTTATTGGAAACTGTGCGTAAATGGTGAAAGACTGTTTTCTTTGAGAGCTAAGTAGTAGAGAAGCTAGCTGGTCGTAATTAGCGTGTAGCTTTGTGTAGCTTCTCATCACAATATACTATCGGTAGATATCGCCAGGATATGAACTAATCCTCATTAACTTCACGCAGACTCTCTCACTGGTACATTTTCATCTTTAACTCACTTCTTGGTCACCTGCCTACATACATTTCCTCCTACATGTCTCTGTGTGAGTGCAGCTACAGCGTGCGCTCTCAGGACATTATTACCTGCAGTGTTCCCCCAGTGCGGACTGAACTAGACAAAAGGGCCTTCTCCTACTCCACTCCTGTTTCCTGGAATATCTTCCAAAAAGACCTGAAGCTCTCAACCTTGACCTCTCTAAGTGGCTTTAAAAATTTGTTGGACTCCTGGCAAGGACCATCGCAGACATGTTCCTGTTTTTAGTTTTCTACATTTGCCTTAGAATCTAGCTGTTTTTGTTACTCTTTTTTCCATCTTATTTGTAAAAATAAATAAAAAATCTGTATGCCTTTTTTATAACTGTCTATTGTTGTCGCTGTTGTCCATTGTTGTCATCATTCTTTGTTGAAATCAGGTCTCTCTTGTAAATGAGTCCTCGAGGCTCAATGGGATTTATCTGTCTAAATAAAGGTTGCATGAATGAATGAATTTTATGTCATATCAAACATCCCAGTCAAATGTTAGATACAGTAGGAATGTGGACAGACCAACTGGCCGGCAAAAAAACAAAAACAAAACGCGACTACGGCCGTGTTCTGTTCGACCAGCATACATCGTCAGATTGCCATAAGCGTAACACTGATCCCCACCATATGCATAGCGCAAACTGACCGCTGCATCTATCTGCTGTGAGAGCACCATACACTTCTATTTAATTAGCCACATCACACCATGACGTAGCAGTTAACCTGTCAGATCATCATAAATTGTTATTAACTGCTGTATGACACCCTGATGCCTCAATCCGCCCTGAATAACAGCTTTATGGCACCCTGAGTTAGCAGTTAAGGCAGCAGAATGATTATATTGTCCTTATATTGTTTAAATTAAATTCACAAAGCTCGGACTAATTTCGCTTGCACTGTTCGCACATAAACAGAGTTTTCGCTCCACCTGAAGTCGCGCACATATTACACGCAAAGCGACACCAAAACGATTTACTTACAATGGGATTTACCTGTATAAATAAAGGTTGATTGATACTTATGGTTCAGGAAATGCATTGCACACTGTAAATTGTGTGAATACACATTAATACCATGTGCAATTTGCACCAAAACAATTTACTAACTTACTTTTTGTTGTATCTTGCAGTGTAGGATGATCAGACGGCTCCTCTGAATGTCACGGGCTTATTGTAAAATGTGCATATGTGCGCATGCACATTAACTAAATGCATGATACCATCACATGTATGCTGAATGGACAGAACACCGGCAAAAAAAAAAAAAAATCACACGTAATTAGCGTGTAGCTTCTCATCACAATAGACAATATCGCCGGGATATGAATTTTATGCCATATTGCACATCCTGACTCTGTATCTAACATCTGACTGTTCTTACAGTCAGTAAACACCAGCAGATGTCCACAGTAGTGAAACATATGATCTCAGCACTAACTAAACAGACCTGTATTAACATGTAATGTGTATCATTTCAGGTTAATCAGTCAGTTCCTGTCTGAAGCTCCTCTAAATCCATGGGTGTCCTTGGAGAAGGATGGGACAGTAATGTGTGATCACTGCACTTTAAAGCAAGTATGTCATGACAAACATTCAAAACTTGAAAATTACAGATAAAAGCAAATGATAATGATGTTTAGAGGAGATTATAACACATAATGTTTTGTTGTTTGTCAGATGGGGATGTGAAAACAGCCAGCCAGACATATGAAGCCATCGCTGGACCGCAGCATCAGGATCTGAGAGTTTGTGCCTCCAGACTACACATCAACTGCAGCGGACCAGACCTCGGAGCTTCTCTGGACGCTCTGCTCTCCTGCACCTGCTGTGGTGATGGTGTTTGGAAAATAAAATGTCCACATTGTGCCAAAGATGCTGGAGCGGCTCAATGTGAATTATCTGTTTAAATAAAGGTTGAATTAATATGTATCAACAAATATAAAGTTCTTTCGGTTCTTTGTGAAACAAAAACGCTAAAGAGTTAAAAAAAAATCTACAGCCGCTACAAGAAGGAGTTTATGTGATGGGATTTTTATTTGACCCTTTATGTGTGTATATATATACATATATATATATATATATATGTACAAGATAAAAAAGGGGAAAAAGCCACAAGCAAAGCAGAATGTTCAAAACAGAAACTGGATCATCCATTTTGGTTGTGTGCTATTTTCCAGCTCTTCTTCTTCTAATATGTGTTAGTGGTGGTTAGTAAAGAGCTTAATGTAACATTAGCACCACCAGCTGGTAAGGTGCATTGATATTAATGATCTGCCCACTAAAGGTGAACTATACGCCCACTAAAGGGGAATTATGGGCACTGTGGAGACAGAAATAAACCAGTCCCACTAGAACCGGCCTAAATAAGGCACAATAGGGTCCTACACGAACCGGACCTGTGGATAAGGGGCTTTACTCTCTTGACCTTCCCCCTCTGCCCCTGCACAAAGTGTTTGATGAAACTGAATGGATATTTAAATCCTGTTGAACAATCAGAGGAACTGTGAAATTTAATGGCCCTTTTCCATTAACGGTAACAGTACAGCACGTTTCGACTCGACACTGTTCCAAGGCTTTTCGACTAGCAACGGTTCGTGAAACTGGTACCTTTTTCAGTCCCTTTTTCTCTGGGGTTCCAACCATGCCGAACTGGCCCTAAAACATGATGTCACAACACTGTCGGTCAGTGAATGGTCGGGGGTGAAGTCACTGGTTTGAGAAACTTTCACAACAATCAGATCCGCCATTTATAATAACTCCAACTTGAGGAGCGACTGGACCTATTTTTAAGATTTTAAAAACAATAATGACAACACCATGGTCTAATGCTGAAGTATAGGGATTTTTATTTGTGCTTGGTGACCTACGACAAAATTCAAAGCGAGCTAGATGGAGCTCCGCCAGTACCCCTGGTCCTGTCCACCTGAGCCTCAGAGCCACCTGAGGCCGGGCAGGGCATCATCTCCCTGGCTTCGAGCTCTGCCGGTCAACACAGAAGATCCACTGTGCTGCCGACCCATAGGAGCGCACAAGTCCTGTGCTCCTGCAGGTTCCGAGCTGAACTCGACCACTAGAATTGTTTCTGAAAATATAACGGAAACATATTTCATGCCAAGCCGAGTCGAACCGTGCTATACCGGTACTAACAGTATTAATGGAAAAGAGGCATAACAGTCCTAACTGATGCAGACAATCTTTATCTTTCAAGTTGGAAGATGATCCAGTCAGTGACAATTTTACGTGTCTAAAGCAAACTCTGATAACCCCTGATCAATAAAATCTTCACAGAACCAGCTATCTTCTGCTCCATTCTGAGGGAGTTCCAGAAATCTGGACCCACCATGTTAGGAAAACTTGATGTGTTGTAGTCTGAAGTCAGCAGGGCTCCTACCTGTACATGGAGTCCCCCAGGGGCCGGCTGGTGTCAAAACAATCAGGAAGTATGATAATGTAATCCTCAGAAGAACTGGAGGAGGAGCAACTCCTCCTCCTCCCTGTTTGTGCCTCTCCTCCTTCCTCCTTCTCTGGTTCCTTCTTGGTCTCGTTGACTTTGGGTTCAGATGATCTCTGAATACAAGACTGATCCACATTTTCTGTCATAGAAACAAGAAAAAAGGTCTTCAAAACATGTAAACTAAGTAAAAGTTATTACAGGTCTGAAACCTGGCACCTTGTTAATAAGGAACAAGGTGTTGCAAAATAAGGCCTAGCTCACTGTGTCTGCAAAATATCACAAGTCATTTTCAATGGTTCAATAAGATGTTGGTAAAAATACATAAATTTATTTGAAACATAAATATAGTTGAATCATCTTCATTTTTGTGTTAAGACTGACTGATTATGGGAACACAAAATGGCATCCAGCATGTAAGCTGCGTTTTGGAGAAGCTCCCATTGGCCCCAATGAAAAAACATTTTTTATAGCTGTACTCTCACTACCTTTGGGCTGGATTTTGTTTCTAAGCCTGGTGTCACAGAACTGGATCAACAACGGTCCTGAAAAACCTTTCATTTTAGACCTGTTTCTAACATATATGACACAAATTACCTAGTACCGGTGTATTCACTGACCTTTTGAGTGAGCATTGTATTATAGCAGCTCTCAGAAATATTAAACTTCCACCTTCTAAGCCCAGATTAATTCAAAAAGGGATTTGAAATGTTTTTGTGAACAGTCATTCCTCTGGGATCTGTCTCACTTTGACTGGCATCGTATTCTATTAACAGAAGACGTGAACTCCGCTTGGAACTATTTTCATAATAGTTTCTGTTAGAAAGGCAGCGAGTTGTAGCACAGAGACTTTGAGTTTGAATTATGGTGTTAAGAGACATCTAGTGGTGAATATTGGTAAGTGCATCTTTAATTTTAGAACTGCGCAACACTTTAATTAATCTGACACAAAGCCGACCATGTTAAGCAGCAGAAGTAGCTCAAGTTGTGTGCATAGATGACAAAATGTAAGTTTAACATAAAAAATAGTTGCATAGACAAGTGTCAAGTGTTTTGTCATTGTACATATGCCATGTTTAGCTCGGGTTTGACATTATTGGTTCATTCTGTAATATTCAAGGTTGTTTATTAGTAAGAGCTACATGCTAATGCTAACTACATCTAGGGTAGTGTTTGCTTTGCAAACTCTGTTAAGCATCAAATTTATGAGTGTTTAAACTTTAGCTGTAATACATTAGTCACACTGTGTAGATGTAAAGGTTGAAAGTAGATATCTGAAGTAGTTTATTAATATAAACAAGATGCATTTCTGATTTTGTTTTATTTGTTTCTTTTATAGATCACACATACCCTCACATACTCGGATATATGTAAAGTGAAGGCTGCTGTATATCATCTGTTCATAATTAAAGAACCCAAAAGATCTTCAAGCATCCTGTCTGTGCTCCTTATCGGCACTCCAAGGTGGATATCAATATCAAAATCATCATACAGTCTGAACTCAAAAGTCATTGCTATTGAACATTTGGTCCTTCGAGCCGAATTGATATCTTTCTCGGACATAAGGATGCAGCCAGAAAACACAGTCATTAATTCAACGCGCCCCAAACGCACAGTCCGGCTTCCTACCTACCTTAATGACTATGATGTGAGCTACACTAGAGCTCAGCCAGTCGTTCCTACTGCCCGGTCAATTATTACAGAGGCTCCACAGTTTCTTGTAACCACTGGGAAAGGCTACTACTCATCGGAATCTTCACATACTAACAGTCCTATAAGTCAAGTGAGGTGGGACTACACTATGGATGAGTGGACTGCTTCCATGATTGATGAGATGAACCCAGCGCTGACCCCTCAACCAGTGCATCAACCTCAAGAAAGTGCAGGTAGATCAAAATCTTTCTCACAACTCTTTAGACCATGGGAAGTCACTTCTACTCCTCAGTTACCACGTTTGGATCCAAGGCAACCTCCCTACGTTCGCCAAGGTCCATATTATGGGAACTATCCTCCAGCTCCTCCTAGACGTCAACTTCAATGTGATACTGCACAGAAATTTGACAAAACTCATGATCATCAGAGGTCACATAGTCTGGATCATACAGCTCAGCCCACCTACAACATGGAAGCTAGTACAATTGATAAGCTGGATAGTTTAATGGCTGAACTAAGCTTAAAGGAGCAGGCAATTGCAGCATCACATCCACTTCCACCTATGGGAATTAGCAGCAGAGAACCTGAGAGAAGTTCATCAACTTTAAGACTGTTTCCTTCCTATGGTTACAGTAACCCGACATATTGCCAGCCAGCCACATATGCACCTGTGGCAAGGCCAACCATACTACCAAGGTACAGTTGTAGAATGAACATATGCTGATATATATTCATAAATTAAACGGATTCTTTCATTTTTCTGGACTGGATAATATCGTGCATTGAATAATTAAAAATGTAACGTGAGACGTTAATTATCTTTGACCCATCAAAATGAACGTGGTCATTTATTTTCAGAATCAAAGTTTAACACATCACACATTTACATTAATTGGCAAAATATGAAAATAACACCATAATTAATCAGCTTTACAATCAGGAAAACCATACGGCCATGATTTTCCGTTGCTTCACCACAGACATTTCTAAAAATATCTGGATTAATTTGCTAGCAGATAGAAGAATTTTAAAGATGGGAAATGAAGTTTAAGTTGAGAGAGATGGGGAGGGAATTTGTCTGTTATAACCAGAAACAGCACGCTCCTTTGGACCAGCTTAACCCAACGGTACGCTTTGGGTTGAAGATCGACTTTTTACCTTTCTGAAGATATGTCAGTTCCGGCGTAAAGTTCCACTTCAAGCCTCTTTTCAGCGTCTCCGTAAGGATAGTAGGGAACCGTTCGGAGTCGTGAGATCATCCAGAACAGACTTCATAATTCCTCTGAACTTCTCTCGTCCAGCTTAGTCGCAGATGTCCTGAGCATTCTGGACTCTGCTGCTCTCGGAACCAACTCACAACATTCTCTCAGCGTTCTCCTCAGCGTTCTTCCCAGAACTGCCGAGAACTTCTCAGAACTACTGAGCTCTCCAGAACTCGACTGGAGCCGGAACCTCTGCAGAACTTTGTAAACTAGGAAGTGTCGCACCTTTAAAGAGCTCTATTTCCGGTTCACTTGAGAACTTTCTGATTGGTCGATGGACCAAAACAGAGGTGTGTTTTTGTGATGTAAGGTGTTATTAAAAAGTCAAGGAAAAAGATTAAGATTGTTTAAGAACAGACAAAAGATATCATGGAGAACTCAGACTTCGTGGAGTCAATTCTCTAGTATCTTGCTGTAAAAGTTAAACATGACATTTCTTTTTCAGTAAACTTGCAGTTGACCGAAACTTGAACTTTGACCAACTTACACAACTTGCTCATTTCAAACAGACGATCAAGAAATTGAATCATTACTCTGTAACATATTCCAACTTGATTTCCACTTTGAATGAGGATTAAAAATCGTTATTACTGTTTCACAGTTGATTTAAAAATGAGTAGTTCACTTCAACATTTAAAAATGGATTGAACTAACACAATTTGATTATCAAACATTTGCAAAATAGTAATGATAATCGAAAGTAGTCTTCTTTCACTTGATTAATTCAAGAAAGAAAGTCTCAGGATGGGTCAACCTGTATTTCTGGATTCAAATCAATGAAATGACAGTTTCTGTCCCATAAGGTCCTTAAGGTCAGGACTTGACCTCAGGCCTAGTTCACTACAGTCCCCCCTTTGGAAATCATCGCCTGTCCATGGGGATGAATTCCAACATGAACTTACGCCTTCGAATGTCCTTGAGCTTGATGTAATCCAGCAAGGAAAACAAAAGTCAAAAGTAATCCAGCAAGGAAAACAAAAGTCAAAAGTAATCCAGCAAGGAAAACAAAAGTCAAAGGTAATTCCACAATGTTCTTGGTAATTCCATTGTGTTGATGATAATTCCATAATGTTGTTGGTAATTCCATTGTAGCAATGCTTTAACCCCCTTGGAAGCAAAGTCTGTAATCCATTTGAAAAAGTCATATAATCCACAACGGTAAATCCACAACGATTGGAAGTGTTGATTGATCAGCATACAGAGGGGTTCCCTTGGATTGAACTGAAGGTGCAGCCACTGGATGAAGATTGGAGACCAACGTCAGGATTGCAGGTCTCCTCCAGCGAAGGTCGTCTCTGGGCGACGTCCAGTCG